AGCCCGGGTTAGTTCCATTCAAATCATGAAAGCTAGAGTCCAAAACAAGGGCAAAAGTGTTTGGAAAAGTAGATACGACGGAGACGTATCAATGACTTACATGGGATGATAAGGCACGAGAATCGTCTCCTTCTCCTTATTGGTGACTATGAAATCGGCGATGTAGTCCCTCACGTATTCTTGGTGCTCTGGGAAGATTGCCAAGAAGCCCTCGTGCATGAAGTACGGGTCAGCGGGACATATATAAGGTATCTGCTCAATCCTGATGATGTGGTTCATGTACAAGGCAAAAAGGCAGACACACGTAAAATCCATCTTTTTCAAGTGAAACATGTCAAAGATGTAATTGAATCAAAGGAAGAACTTTTCCGCGGGGAATGTGTCGACGTACGACCTTTGCTGCGGCACGTTAACCACGTACAACGGGTATCCTGGATTTTCTGAGGCGATCAGATTTTTCTCTCTCCGCAGCACATCATCATGAAGTCTCCTTAGATCACCGAACATGGCCTCTACCGCTGCCTTAGGTAGGATCGGATCATCGGGGATATGGCATTTTGCCGCACCGGGGATAGGTATACGGTCTTGAATCCGAGGCTGCTAACGCGGCTGGATCATAGAAGAAGCTTTGTTGCCTTTCCTCGATCTCTTACTATGCTTCTTTCCTACTGGAAGTGAGCCTATAATACGTTCATCCTCCGGCAAATCAGGCACCGACTCATCACGCTCAAACCCTGAGTACTCATATTGCTGAGCGATCAATCCTCCATCATCAGAGGCGCCGATATTGAGATACTGTAGAGGGTCATCGTCATCCTCATCGATGGCATCAGACATTGCTTCTTCGATGGCGTCGACGTCATAAGCCAGTAATGGAGCCTCTTCCTCACCCGGCATGACAGACGATGCTAATTGCGTAGGTGCGGTGTTGGTATTCATACCTTGATGAGGCTGCTTGGTCATGGGTGTGCTCCCGGCCGCCTCTAGACAAAGCAGACTCTTCGGCCACAACAAGGCCCAACGCTTGCAATCGTCAGTCCACGATGGGGTCTCGTCGTCATCTCCCGCTGGTGCTATTGGAGGAGCCAAATTCTCGTGGCCCGGTTCGACACTGGCCACGGAAAACTTGAAGACGTCAGGAGGGATCGGCCGGTTGTGGAACAATTGTTCCTTGGGCTGCATTATCGTCGCCTTCCCCACATCCACCTTCTAGCCTCTTATGGTGTACAGTAACGTGCATGGGGTTTCGTCGTCCTGCAAAGACATGTCTGCCACGTGAGACATCCAAAAGGCAATGGAAACGGGAGATTATACATATATTGGAGAGGGCCGGTGTGACAGGTACCGTGAGGGCGTCGAGCTCAGCCAAACATGAAGCACCGCCGAGCACGTCCGAGACGGAGGACGGGCTATTATGAGCAGGTGCGGGAGCCGGTGTAGGAGCAGGTGCCGGAGCCGTTGCAGGAGCCGCTTCAGGAGCCGCCACCAAGAAGTCGAAAAGGGGAAAGTCTGCTACATCCTTATTTGGATTTTGCTTGGTCCAACTAATGATAGCCGGAACCAAGACACTATACGAAGTTGCTATCTCCTCATTTGCGGCAGCTACCGCTGCTTTGATTGTCTGTGCTGATTTCTTCTCAACCACAATCTCAACCTTCTTCTTGATGTTTTCTTCATTTAACCTCCGTCTTTCCTTTCTCTCCTCCATGGTCTCACGGTAGTACTTCTTCCACGTGGCGCCGTCTCCGACGCCGTGCACGCGTCCATACGACGGCCGAGTTTCCATCGGGAGTCCTTTCAATATGTTCAAGGCCCGGTTGAATGTGGTGTCCAACTTGGATCTCGCCAACGCCTCAGACAATGAGTCGCTTTCGGCCGCAATCCTGTGCTACTCACTCCGCAAAAGGAACAAGTATCGCTTACAAATATTACTAAACATGCGGTCGAATTGATCTGAAGCTAAAATTACCAACAGCCTCATGAACTCCATCGTTGTCGTGTCCATCTCAAAAACCTTCTTGACTGGGTACCAATGGTACCGGACCCTGATGATGTCACGCTCCTGCGGGACGGTGAACTCCGCCAAGGGGTCTGGGATGCCCATACTTTCGCGTTTCGCGTCCTCCTTGGCCCATATGGACCTCTTCCCTGCATAACCACGGCTTCCGAGATGGTGGCACCCCATGTTCCTCTCTTTAAGCCCTTTCATGTACTCCGACTTTTCTTTGGCAGCGTCGGCAACGCAATTGTCGGATTGTCGGATTGTCGGATTATGCTTTACATCTTGGAGTAGGATTCCTTTTTGTCGATGATCCTTGCTTTCCCTTACTTTCTAGGCGGACAACGCGCCACTAAACTTTCCCATGGCGCGTTTGTTTATCTTCTTCATTGCCGGGTTTTTATGTGGATCGGTATATTTGATTTCATCCCGGCCCGGGAACAAGAATACCTTGTGCAGCTTAGTTAGGAGGGACTCCTTCATATATGGTATCTTCATTAGTTTCTCATCGTTGATGGTGGCGGTTGCCCGTAGGATGCAGCCTATTTGATTGTCGTAACACGCGCGTGCTTCCGCAGGCTCTTTTGGCTAAAAAATTCCGTCAGCCATCTCCGTGACCACCAGTCTAGTAGTGAGGAGCTGGTTTGGGCGCCGTTGCCTCTTTAGTTTCGGTTCTATACCAGCTTCGCAAGTCCCAGCGCCGTTCTCGACGCTGGTGTCAGTCTCAGCGCTGGTCTCGGTGTCGGTGTCAGTCCCAGCGCCGGTCTCGACGTCGGTGTCAGTCTTAGCACCGGTCTTGATGTCGGTCTTCATCTCGGATGTGATAGATGGGCCCTGCAACAACCGTTGCTCATCGAGAAGGTTCAAATAGGCGGCTGCCGTCGCGTAGACGTTGCAATCACCAGAACCCTGTCCTTCATCGTTGCTAGCCATGTTCCAATCACCAGACCTAATAACATGAATAATGACATAAAAAAAGGCCAATGTTTTGCAGGAACGTTGATTCATTCCCGTTTGCGGGAAATCCCGTGCACTCGGTATGTCCTAGTTTGTAGCACAAGTCATTCTGAAATTCATGAAAAATTTCGGCTTGACCTTTGCTACAAACTGGACAAATAGAGCACCTGAAATTTGCCGGAACGAAAATGAATCAACATTCCGGCAAAACATTGGTCACTCGGAATCATTCCCTACAAACAACAAAAGGCCACTTGGGCACAATCGAACCACTTCAATGAAAAGATATAACATGGCCACTTCAATGAAAAGATAAAATCAACAATAATGGAATATCCAAATGAACATCAATGACATATACCCCCTTCGTTCCAAAATAAATGACCCAACTTTGTACTAACGTTAGTATAAAGTTGAGTCATCTATTTTGGAACGGAGGGAGTATCATATAACATCATTTTTTTTTGTTTATAGCTAAATGCCATAGCTACTTTTTTTATTTTTAGCTAAATGCTTTTGTTTTTTGTTTAAAGCTAAAAGTCTAGGAAGGGATCATCTTTAAAATAAAACTTACCTAAATTTATTTTTCTTGAAAAATAGTGGTCTTTTCAAAAATCAAGAATCATTGCAAAATGACCTCATTAAACACTTCTCTGCCTAGGACAGAACCCAAATTCTATTCTAGCTATTCATCTCTCTCTCTCTCTCTCACACACACACATAATTTTCTCTAATCCTTCTCTGCATATGACAGAACCCAATTAAATTCAGCTTCAAAATATGAAGTTGAAGCAATATATACCTTGCAAGCGTTTTGTCAAACACCTTGTGGGCACCGAGCGGCAGTGGGCCGCTGGGCGATGTTCGCTGGAGGAATGGTGTGCACGAGGGGCGGCGGCGACGAGAGGAGGTGGAGGAAGCGGCGGCGGCGCGCGGGGATAGGCCGGGGAAGCGCCGACGGGTCGCCGGAGCAAATGGGGAGATGCAAGCGGCGGCGCCAGCGCCTGGATCTGGCGGTTGGTGAAAGTCGTGCGCGAGTCGTTGCTGTCCAGTGCATGGGAGCGGGCGCACGAAATAAGCGGCGTGGGATGCCGTTTTGCTCCGCATGCTGAACCAATTATACCGCGCGTGCGTTTTTGCGCATCTGTTGGAGCGCCCATTCCGGCCCCGCGCGCGCAAAAGAGGCGATTTTTCCAGCGCGCTGCTAAGATCGCGCGCCCATTGGAGATGCTCTTAGCCACATAGTAGAAATCTTCACGATTATAGTGCCTTTGCGCACTTTTCTGCAAAAGTAACAAGTCACAAGTAAATGATTCATTTATATGATTTTCACTCAAATATGCAATAAATCATAGCAAGAATTGATTGTCAGATCGCAACAGATGCTATATTTGGGTGTCAAATTATATATATGAAATGTGTTTATCAGTTACCACTGGAGCATCTGAATCGTTTTTTCTTTATTAGAAAGAGAAAGCCAAAAAAGAGAGAAAAAGCAGCGCACATATATCTTGCTTCACGCTTTGGCAAAGGGAAGAAGGGACCAGCCAGCGAGAAGCAAAGTTGCCCACCCTCCTCGATCTGCAAGCATGTATGCACATCAAGTAAGGGACCGTGTGTACTCTCTACTTCTCTAGCTAGTTATTGACAACAAGCTAAGCCTCATACCTGCTTGTTGTCAACCTGCTTGGCCTGGCAGAATATCTGTCGAACAAGAAGATTAGAGGGCGCTTGCACTTGTGCTTAATTTGTCAACCTGCCTGCTCTTGTCTACAGTCAAGTCAAGGTACACGACGCACTTACTCTCTTTAGGCTCCAAATATCTAATTATTCTGCCAGACAGAACACTGCAATACGTACCGCTGCTTAATTAACAATAGTGGTGAAGCTCAAACATACATAACATCTTGTTGTTGTTGTTGTTGTTGTATATCCAGGTTGTGTGGCAAATATCTTCGGTACGTATTGATGGGTTAGACTGGTCGAATTTGCAGCTGCTTTTCTCTCTAGGTCCTCTTCTTCGACAGAGGAATATATATACATCATGAATGTTGCTGAGAAGGAGGTACTAATACTTTTTGCCTATTTTACCTCACAAAAATAATTAGTACTACATCATGGTTTTGTTTTAAGGGATCTGCTTCAGTACACCCCCTTGATTAAATCAATGGAGGAGATTAAAATTAGCCAACAAAAACGCCTTATATTTTAATACAGAGGTAGTAAGAAAGATGGTGAAACTAAAAATAATCAATTCATTTGTAATTTTTAAATCAACCAATTCATCAATCAGCCTGTACGTAAGACTAATCTGTCTGACCCTATGTAAATAAATCCACTAAATACGGATAGCCCAGGCCAAATTTTCCCTGCCAAAAAATGGAAGGGCAGCCCGCAAGGGCAATCTCAGGCGACTGTCAGTAGTTGGCGGCACACAACAGCTCTGTTCACGGCAGGGAGAGCCAAAGCACGCGGCTCGGAAATCGGCATGGCTGGACAGCGGCAACGATGGAGGCAGTAAGTGCATCGTGAGGTTGCTGCAGATTGTACAGGTTGCGGGGATTCAGGCAAACGCAGGCAATATGAGGGTCCTTATAATGGTAGGTTTTCCTATGTAGAGGCATGTAAATAAAAACAAAGACCGTATGTGTAGACGCTTACATATCACAATGTGTACGTAGTAATAATTTTTCCATGGCCCACGCCCAGCCATAAAAGTTGATGTGATTCAAACCATCGCTTGTTCAAATACCGTTTGAGTGCTTCACAGATGCACCCTGATTTATTATTATTCATATATATGATGGAGGGTATGTGTTATGTACATGTTAAAGTGAAATGATGTACTCAAATTTGTTTATAATCAAATAAGCTAGGCCATTTGCCAAAAAACGTAAACTAACAAAGATGCTCTAACTTGCATACTTTACTTCAGATCTTAAGAGCCGATAATGTTCACGAAGCTGCACAAGAGATGTTCAAAATAATTCAGCTCAGGGGCCGCATATTCTGCCTTGATTGTTGGGATGGATTTGGGGCCTCTGCTGTTCTTAGATACATGGCGGCAATGCTTCCATCCAGGAGAAACATTCCGGAACTATGCTTTGACAGAATAATTTTCATAGATTGCTCAAAGTGGAATAACAGGAGAGCGGTGCAGAGAGCAATTGCACAGGAACTGACACTTGACCGCTCTATAATGGCTACTCTAGATAAGCAAGACGAAGAGGATGATTTTAAGGGAATTGGTGAAAGCTCGAGGAATGAGATAGGCAGTGTTGCACAAGTGATTGAGCAAACCCTGACTGGCACCAAATTTATGATGTTTTTTCTCAATGGAAGTGATGACGAGGTTGACATTGGTTCGTTTGGCATTCCTCTTACAAGGTTTGGTAAAAACATGATGATATGGACCTTCAACAGGTGCTGCTTGACAATGCATCGCCATGTTGACCGTCTTTCGATATCAAGCAATCTAAGATATACTCATGTTTTCATATATTCATTCCGGGGAGCTCGCTCATTAATAGCTTATGAGTTTCAAGAACTACTTCATCAACAATGTGCCACCATAGTTGCTCGAAGTCCATCTATGCTAGACATCAACCCTACAATGGTTAAAGAATGTTGCCTCTATGGGTTATTTCTTCATTATATTTTTCACATTTCCACCAAACTTGATTGGATCGCTCATGCTTCCAACTATTGGATATGTGATGCAATCATACAAGGGGACAAAGCAAGGGATGTTAGTAACACATTGCATGGAGAGATAAATTGGGAGGGTGATGCTACTGTGATTGATGAGGTGCTTCAGATGCTCATGAAATATTTTGAGCATTTATTTCTGGTAGTTAAAGATGATGATGTCTATAAGGAAGGGTCATACCGTTGGATTTCAGTCACATCAAAAAATATGGAAATATGTGGTATGCAAACTATTCCTGCAGTGACGTCATCTCTGTTTTTGGCATTTGAAAGATCCGATCACCCACCAACTCTGCAAAAAGGCTTCTTTGAACATTCCAACAAGCTTGGTGTGCTAGTTCTCTGTTTCTGTGCCTTCAATTTTGCATCACCTCCTTTTCACCATTGTCAGAACCTCAGATTCCTTGGATTGGACCATTGTACACGTAGCAAAACATGTGAAGCAGATAATCATCAAGAGTGGGCATGCTTGTATAATCTTTTGGTGCTGGACCTACGCTACACAGAGTGGGATAATATCTTATCTGAGGAGAAAATGGATCTTATGAAAAGCATCACAGAACTAAATATAGAAGGAGTCAGATGTTGGCGGTACACAGCTCAGTTACAAGGGAGGCTGCCTAACCTTGAGAGACTCCGAATAATCAAACCAACTTGTCAGCATGAGACATCAAATGATGTTGATAACTCCTTCACAGATAAGAAAAGTATGAAAATACTAGATTTTTCAGGCAACTCTGACATGAAAACTCTTCCAACAAGTCTATCAAAGGCGAGCAGGCTTCAGATGCTCATACTTGATGGTTGTGATGGACTGGAAAGCATTGTTGCCTCTGGTCTGCTTCCTCCTTCTCTCAAGACCTTTAGCTTTGATGGCTATGGGCCAACTCGCCAGAGGACATCAACTGTTGAGCTACCTCCGAAAGATTTCCGTCCACCTCCCAATGAAGAGAAGAAGGGTATCTCTACATCGAGGATCTCCCTGGTAGGCTGCACACAATTGGATAATCTGTTCTTGCGTGGGTTACCCAACCTTGTGGAACTGGATCTCTCCGGAACTGCGATCAAGAAGCTTGACTTCAAGACTATGGTGGTGCAGGTCCCAAGGCTCAAGCGGTTATTTCTAATAGGATGCAAGCACCTTCGTGCAATCATTTCTTTGGAGAAGATTGATCATCTTGAGTTAGTGTGCATAGACACGCGAGCTGGAATCGTGTGTCCGTATCCTACCATTGACAAGCATAAATCCTTCCAGTTGCATGTGCATGCTGTCCTTGCGGATGCGAGGATTACTCACTCCTTGAGGGAACTTGGATGGGGTCCAAAGGAAGATGTAACTTTCAATATCCACATCACCTCCTCGCCTGTTCAATTTGAAGCAACTAGCAAGGATAAAGTTGGTCCAAGTGATCAAGAGAACCCGCAACAGCTTATTCGTCTAGCAAGCCGATACAGTGATGTCCTGAGGATGGTTGGCGATCCCCTGGTACAAGTTTTTCTGCCACCAGCAGCGACTCCAAAGTTGGATCGACATATAGAGATTTCTCAAGGGAGGTGCCACATGGAGAGACATCTCAAGGAATCACTAGATTCATTCATGGGATTGTATGCTGAATCCCTGCACTTCCATGACGTCTCCACACGTGCTATTACTCCTCAAGGTCATAATCCTAATCTGTGGAAATACCTTAGGTGGTGCTGCGTGGAGAGGTGCCCCAAGTTGAATACCTGCTTCCCTTTGCGTTCGCATGAGTATATGGCAGGCTTGGCAGGCTGGTGGATGACCAATTGGTTAAGTAAAATAGACCCTAAAGGCTTCAGTAATCTGCAGCACCTACACTTGTGCTTTTGCCCCAGCCTCCAGTTCGTGCTCCCCATGCGGTTTTGGTCCTTGCCCAGCTTGGAAACCCTCTACATCATCCACTGCGGCGGTGATCTCAACCACGTCTTCATGCAGGACGAAATGGTCCAAACAGGAATAGGCAGAAATCGCCCCCGCATTTTGCCATGCCCGAAGCTGACCACCATCCACCTGCACGACCTCCCAAAGCTGCAGAAGATATGCGAGGTCAGCTTGTTGGCACCAGCGCTCCAGACCATCAAGATCAAGGGGTGTTGGAGCTTACGCCGGTTGCCATCTGTGAGGGGCAGAAGCCCAGGCGAGAAGAAGCCGACCATCGAGATCGAGAAGGACGTGTGGGACGCCCTGGAGTGGGACGCCGACCACCTCCCCGACCAATTTGAGACGCCGGTCCACTCGCGCTACTACAAGGAGAAGCTGCCCAGGGTCTCCGTCCTCAGGTACGACGTATGCGTATTACAGAATGCAACATTGTTTCTGTTCTCAACTTATCATGTTACTCACCATTTTGGTTTTTCTTGCCTAGTAGGTGAAAACTCTGCACCGCCGTGTTCCTTGCAGCGCTAGACGGCTTGATTTTCTTGTGTGCTTGCTGGGATTGCTATTGTGTGGCCTTGTTGCCAACAATGCCTTGTGTGTGAGCTTATGGTGGCTCTCACCTTATATTATGTTGTGGCTTGCAAATAAGAAGCAGAGTGTGTGTGTGGCTTTGATGAGTGGTAGCTTGCTATGAGTTTGAAACTTTCTTATGTGTGCCTGCATGCATGTGAGTTTGAAACTGTCATATTTGAGAGTGTTTGCTATGTACTACTATCTGAACTAAGAAACAGCTCGGCTGCTCATGTTTGCTTGGTTGGTATATGCTTTTGATGAAAAATAAAAAAAAAGCAGCAGCTATCTGTGCTGGTTGTTGCAATTGCCTTGTCTGGCTCCATATGTGTGACTGTGAATCATTGACCCATCAGTCAAATTTGAGCACGACAGGCATCAATTACGACTAACGTTCTTCTTTCCGAGTATCGAAACAGTGGTTTCAAGTACTGCACCAACACATAATAAGATCATAAAATTTCTTCTTCAGTGTTTCTGAATGGTTGCAAAAAGAAAACCATAAGAAACTTATTTTAGTAACAATATAGTGTTGTTAGATTATTGTTGTTCAAAGATTGAACTTAGACAGAGGGAGTGCTGCTAAACTAAACTTAGGAAGTTAGGAGACAGAGACACTTGCGATGTGTTGCCTGCGTCAGCAGACCCTGCTGTACAAAAGCTATTTCTAGCAGCACAAAACACCATGGAAATCTGTAGTATTGGAAAATAAAAAGAAATAAATCTTGTAAGAGCAGCTGCATCTCGATCATCTTTGGAAAAGAAAAAGAAAAAAGCAAAAAGCAAAAACAAAGCAGCAGCATACATACGTTGCTTCATGCTTTGGCAAAGCGAAAGGGGGGAAGCAAAAGCCCATGCGTCCATGAAGCTACCCTCCCAGTATGGAGGAGGTATCAAGAAACACATTGTGCGCTCTTTAGTTGCAAGCAGAGAAGAGAGGAAGAGCCAACTTGCTTTGCTCTGCAGCTTCTGAGGGCAAAGCCTCACACACCAGCATTAGCAATTTGACGATCGAGGAAGCAAATCGGAGTGCCAATCTAAGTTTCTACTATCTCAAGCTTCTTGTCTGCTGCTTGCTGTTAAGGTACGCATTTACTAGCTAGCTAGCTAGCCACTAAAAAACAATTGCATTTGCTGGCTTGCTTTCTTTGTGCCCTCTAAATTATTCTCCCAGAACAAAGTTTGAGTATATATGTAGTTGAGTAGCACTACTTGTTGTCGGTGGCAACACACAAACGTAACAACTTGTCCTTGTTACTGTATTTTTACATTACAGGTGGTGCCGATGGGTTAGATTGATTGAACTTGCAGCTGATTTTCTCTCATGGTCTTGAGCGGAGGAATCCATCCTGTGATTCCTGATTCCTTAGTAGTTCTTTCCGTCATTTGATTTTGAAGACTTGTTAAGTTACACAGCTGCAGTCGTCTCTTGGCTGGTCTTGGACAGAGGAATTGATCTTGAGTCCGGTCCTCATCGGTTGATTATGGGTTAACTTTGCTACTCCTTTTCTTTCTTGGTATTGGCGATCATGAGTTCTATTGGATACAAGGTAAGCACTCTTGTGCATTTTACGGTTTTCTCACTGATTAGGCAGCACAGTTTTCGCTCAAAGAGGCGGTGGATCATCATGCTAGGGAATCAAAAAATGCATCCTCACACCTAACTAGTTTTCTAAAAATGCCCATTAGAATTGCTTTACTCTGAAATGAATTACTCCACAATTTTATTGGAAACAAATGAATTACTCCTCATGCAAACATCATGAAATATGTAAAACATTAACCGTCATATCAGATTCTCACTTGGTAGGGCCTTGGACCGAATTTATTGAGTCTTTCTTCTGGAATGGATACAGGGCATGACCTAATGTGATGCTCGGTGGTTTTGCTGCTTCCTTTTGAGAAACCGGTTTCATTGCTTCTAGTTGCACAAGATTGTATATTGAAAAAAGAAGGGAACTGTCTGTTGTCTGTTGAGCTTCACTCGCTGCTGTCTGTCGAGGTACGTATGTGTATATATTATTTCTGGCTACTTTCTTCATGCCCTCTGATTTTTTTTGGTGGGATGATACTTGTATTACTCAACACTCAAAGATTACTCTACCAGAAGAAATTCTGTGTATATATATATACATGAGTATAGGTACTGGTTAACAATGGTGAAGCAGAAAATTAACATGTTGTGCTTGTTGTTGTGTCTGTAGGTGGTGCCAAGATCTTGAGCCAACGGGTTAGATTGATCACATATGCAGCTGGTTTCTATTCTTCGTCTTCGATGAAAAACGGATTAAGATCGCTACGGTTTCGCTGCTGCTTTGTCTCTTTCTTTGTCTTGGGCGGAGCAATATATTCATCATGTGTAGTCCTCATCAGTTAATGATTGGTTAAATTTGCTGCTGGATATTTCTATTGATCTTCGTTGGAGGAATTCATCATGAGTAGCGATCTTCGAAAGTGGGTAATACTCTTGTGCCTTTTACGTTGACAAAGTAGTACACGATTTTTTTTTGATCAAAGAAGGGCTTGCCCCTTCCGATTTTCATTACTGAAAACCACAGAGTTCTACAAAAGAGTTCAAATGAAAAAAAGAAAAGATCGAACCGGATACACCACGATCAGATAGCATCCCAAAAGGCCAACACAGGGCCAGCCACTCCAGATAACCCTAAATTCGCAACTGCCAACCGAGTTCAAACTACCCTGAATGTCCTAACATCAACGCAGAAGCAAAAGCAGCAAAAGGAGCCAAGGATCTATTCTACAGGAGCACCAAACATCAGGTTCACCACCGCAGGAGTCTTCATTCCAATCTTGCAACATTGATTCTCCACCCCTGCTTGGCTGTGAACACTTCATTTGCTGCCTGTTCTAGCACCCTTGCTCCCAGCTCCAACGTTTTTCTTGACGACTCCTTTATCTGCATAATAGACCAGTCAATTAACCACCTGCACATTAGCTTGACAACATATAAAGGATCATTTATCCTTTTATTCTCAAAGACAATTGCATTTCTGCTTTTCCAAATTGACCAAAGCAGGGCTGAAATCCCCACCAGCACCAGTTTCTTATCATCTTTATTAAATTTCCTAATCCAGTCTCCAAAACAATCTTTCACACTAGATGGTACAGTTTTAAACCCACACACACATCTGACCAAACTCCATAACAACGAAGCAACAGAGCAAGAGAAGAATAAATGATCAATAGATTCATCTTTCCCACACAAGACACATCTTTTCTCACCCTTCTAGCCTTTTTTAAGTAGAACATCTCTATTTAGGATGCTTTTTTTATTAATCAACCATAAAACACTTTCAGTTTTGCAGGTACCTTGATCTTCCATAAGTATTTCTGTGGGAATTTCATACCAACAGCTATCAATTTCCTATATAAGGATCCCACAGAAAATTTGTGATCAGCAGTGAGGGTCCAAAGGATTTTGTCTGCCCCTCCCTGCATTTGAATTTCCTCACATATATTTTTGAGACTGTTCCAAAGCTCCACAGTCTCCCCATGTAGGGTTCTTCTAAATCTAAACCCATGCCACCCTTTCTGTATGGCCTCCTCCACAGTAATGTTATGGTTAAAGGATATATCATACAGTCTAGGGTAAGCCTCCCTCAAAGGTTTATCATCAACCCATGAATCTTCCCAAAACCTAGTATTTCTCCCATCTCCCATCTTTTTCTTCACAGATTTGTAAAATTTCTTTGATTTTAAGCAAGCTAGCCCAGAATTGTGAGTCCCCTGGCTTTTTACATATTAAAGCCAAACAACCCCCTTTTCTATATTTATCATCCAAAATATCCTGCCACAAACCCTTTTCATTCTCCATTTTCCAAAACCATTTAGCAAGAAGTGCAATATTCATTATTTCCAGATTCAGTATCCCTAAGCCACCCATTTCTTTGGGCAGACAGCAATCTTTCCAATTCACTAGGTGGTATTTTTTGACATTCTCATCCTCTTGCCATACCAGTCTGGATCTGAAGAAATCAGCTTTCTTTATGATCCCTTTAGGCACAGCATAAAAGGACATCATGAACAGAGGTATATTAGTCAGGCAAGCTTGCACCAAGGTAATTCTCCCAGCAATGGAGCCCAGTAGTTTCCCCTGCCAACACCCACACCTTTTTTCAATTTTGTCAGTCACACATCCCCAATGAGAATTCCTGATTCTGTTCTCAGATACAGGCATTCCCAGGTATTTTATGGGCAAGTCCCCCATCTTACATGTTAGTATTTCTTGACATATCATTTGCTTTTCTCTAGCTTTGCCAAATAACAGCAATTCACTTTTGTGAAAATTTATTTTAAGCCCAGACATTTGCTCAAAAGCTCCTAGTATGAGTTTAAGGTTTTTCACACTTTCTATCTCATCTTTGATCGAGAATATGGTATCATCAGCATATTGTAGCATATTAATCCCCTTCCCTCTATCACTGTTCAACACCCCTTTAACCAAATCATGTTTGAGGGCATTACTCATTATAAAGGCTAGGGCATCAGCAGCAATGTCAAACAGCAAAGGTGACATGGCATTCCCTTGCCTCAATACTTTAAAGGTTTTAAAATATGGGCCAATTTCATCATTCACTTTAATTCCAACATGTCCCCCTCTCATAGTTTCCATCACCCAGTCACACCATTTATCAGGAAACCCTTTCATTTTCAACATCTGTATAACAAAAGGCCATTTGATTTTGTCATATGCCTTCTCAAAATCTACTTTAAAAACTAGGGCATCATCTTTATTCTTATGAAAGGAATTCAGAGCCTCATGCAAAATCACAATCCCTTCCATAATATATCTACCTTTAATAAAGGCAGTTTGGGTTCTAGAAATCACAGGGGCCACACACTTAGCCAACCTGTTCATCAGAATCTTAGTAATGATTTTAAAACTAACATTCAGTAGGCAAATGGGCCTAAACTTCTGAATTTGTTAAGCATCATTAGTTTTTGGGATTAAAGTAATTATGCCATAGTTGCATCTATCAATGTTAATTTCTCCTTTTGCAAAACCATCTACTAGGTTTTTCAGATCCCATTTGACCACTTCCCAAAAATCTTGGTAAAAGTCAGCAGGGAATTCATCAGGGCCAGGGCTTTTATTTCTCTTCATCCCAAAGACCACTTGATGAATTTCATTTAGGGAGAAAGGTGTCAAAAGCTCCTCTCTTTCTTGTTCATTGATTTTATCCATCTCCATCTCTATCAGTGAGATACTAGATTCTTCACGATGTCCAAATAATTCTTTATAAAATTTGGTGATATACTCCATTAACTTCTCATCCCCTTCTATAATCCCTTCCTCCCGTTCCAAGGAAACAATTTTGTTTTTTCTTCTCCTCCCATTCACCTTAGAATGATAATATCTAGTATTTCTGTCCCCATCTTTGATCTTCGAATCTTTATATCTCTGCATGCATTTCATCTCCTCTTGCATCATAACTCTTTTCAGTTGGGCTCTAAGCTCTTTCTGTTCATTTCTATCCACCGTACTTAAACCCATGATCTCATCTCTCTTATCTAAATCATATAGTTCCTTTATAATTTCCATTTTTCTTTTCCTCTACCAAGCATCTATATTTCTATTCCATACTTTAGCTTTTTTCCTCAATCTTCTCAACCTTGATTGCCATCTATCCAGAACGTCCCCTAAGTATCTCTCATTCCAGGTGTTATATACCAACTCTCTAAAGCCCTCTCTCAGCAGCCAAGCATTTTCATATCTAAAAATATATTTATGATTATGAGCTTCCCCTGTATCCAGGAACAAAGGAGTATGATCAGAAATCTCTCTAGAAAAGGCTTGCAACATGGTAAGTGGGTATTTTTCCTCCCAAGCTGGGCACATCAACACTCTATCTAGTTTTTCAAAAGTAGGGTCATCCTGATTATTAGCCCAAGTGTACTTTCTCCCATTCAGGGGTAATTCCCTAAGCCCTGCTTGTTCAATAATGGCATTGAACATGAAGGACCATTGTTCATTAAGCATAGGTTTGTTCTTCTCCTTCCCACTTCTAATAATGTTAAAATCCCCCCCAACCAAGCAAGGCAGAGGATTATCATGATATAATCTTGCCAATTCAGCAAGGAACCTGGCTTTTCCTTCATTCTGTGCATCCCCATATACAGTGACCAAATTCCAGTGCATTTTGATATTTTTATCAAAAACTAACATTCTCAAGAAATATTGTCCTTTTTCAATATTTTCAACAGTAAACACATCTTTGTTAACCCCCACAAGGATCCCCTCTGACATGCCTCTGGGCGGATTCCAGCTCCATTGAAAATTCATCCCTCCACACAAATTATGTAGCTCATTTTTTGTGAAGTCTTGCTTTATGGTCTCAGAGAGTCCAATAAAGTCCAGTTTCTGATCCATAATCATTTCCCTAACATATCTTTTTTTGTGATCTTGTCCTATACCTCTTACATTCCAGAAGACTCCCCTCATTTTTCTATTTTTTGACCACAAAAAAACAAAAACATATATCTGATGCAAATACAGAGAAAACTCTCAATTAAAACCTCTTATCTTTTTTCCTTCTTCGAAGGACTCCATCCCAACTGATTGCTTCACACAGTCAAGTGCTGGTGAGCGTTTCCTACCACTTTTTCCCCCAGAGAACATTCCCCTTAGTTTTTTCATCTGTTGTTCCTCAATATCCACATCAGAATGTTCATAATCTGAACAAAGTTTCTCAAGGGTTATGTCTCCAGTATTAATATATATTGGGACATCTTTTTCAAATTTATCATTCTCCTCACATCCCCCCCTACTTTACCACTTTTTTCTCTTTTAATATTCTGAAAGTATAACTCTCTTCTAGCTATTTCCATCTTATTAATAATATCGATATTTTTATCAATCATCTCTATTGAGCAACCTAAATCAATCCCCACCAGAGAACTAATATGTAGTAAAGAGGCATCAGCAATAGCCAGTTCAGGATTCTTACCATAGTTGTCTCTCTCCTCAGCTCTGCTTTTAGCCATATCCTCAATTTTCTTGTCTTCCTTCCCCTTTTTGCTCAAACTTCTCTTGATTTCAACATCTTTTTCCTCCCCTTCTTTATCCAGGATCACACTTCCATGTATTTCAGCCATTTTCTCCCCCAAAGTCCCAATAGATTCTTGGCTAGCATCATAATCAGTGGGCTCATTATATTTCCCAGACTCTGTATCTTCCTTTTTCTGCTGAGTCTCTTTCTCATAATCTTCAAGGTCCATATTAGCTAATTCCATTTCATATTCCTCTCTATTGGCAGCCTCTCGTGCCAATTTCTGGATTTCTTCTAGTTGTTTTTTGCTAATCTCTTGCAGCTCTGTCTGAATCCCTTCTAATTCTCTAATTCTGTTTTCATTTTTAACCCATAATGCATTGTTTCTGATCTTGTCCTCCTCCAAAGCTTTGATCTTATTGAACATGATTTCACTTTATTTTTGCCATTTTCCTCTCTCTAGAGTCATCTCCTTTTGCCACTACATCATGTTTTCTTCCACTTGAGCTTTCATCCTTTCAATTCTTCTATCAACCTCCTCACTTTGCTTCAGGGATAAGCATCCCAAAGAAACCCCTCTATGTTCATTATCCTCCATTTTAGTCCTCTTCATGTTGTCAATCTCTTCCTCTCCCACTTCTGAGATATTACTGCTATCATTTTTCCTCTTCTCTTCCTTGTACCAGCCAATTTCCACCACCTTCTCAGCTTCCACCCCAATTCTAAACATAAGAAGATCAGGTGAAGTGATTTCCACTTGAGTTGGTATTTTCTCCACATCCCTGATTCCACACTTTGCTCTAATTTTCTCCTCATTTATAGTATCCATATCAATCTCCAAGACAGGTCCAACTGCAGCAGCCACCTCACAAACACCCAAAAAATGCCTGAAACAATCTGGAACTTTGGCCAGCCTGACCCAAATGGTATGCATCTTCCCAACAGCCTGATGGTCAAGGGACCAGGGTTGAACCTTGATCACCACCCCTGTCCCTAGCAATTTGAAGTCATTAAACTTGGCCAGCTCCACCAACTTTGCCTTATTGGGAAATCTCATCATGTATCCATTCTTTCCAAATTCCCTCACTCTCCATTGCCACCCCCAATCAAACATTTCCTCCATAGCTTTCACAAGCTCAGTTTCATTAATACTCCCTTCTCTTATGATCACCACCCCAAAGGATTGGTATGCTCTGCTATCAGGACATCTTTATAACTCCGAACCAAAAGAATTCCCAGCCCTTTAGCTGCATATCCTACATATTTTGGGACCGGTTTAACCTGTTTTAGCAAGTTGCACTCCCCTGTAATATGATTCTCTCAGCCACAGATCAAGCAATGTCCCACCCTGCAGTCCTTAGTGGTGTGTCTAGGATCTTTACACTTACCACACACCTGTTTGTTAAACTTGTCAAAATTTCTCTTGCTCTCCTCATATCGTTGCTGCCAACCACTTTTACCTCCTTACTTCTTCATTTCCAGTCCAGCTCCTTGTTCAACCATCTTGTCAACTCTTTGTTGTCCATCAGGACCTCCTTCCTCTTCCTCTCAGTTTCTGGAATATTTGGGTATTTATAGGGCGAAGAGGAGGTGCGGGAGGCCACCGTGGTGGGCACAACCCTCCAGGGCGCACCCTGGTGTCTTGTGCTCACCACGGGATGACCCTCAGATACTTCCTTGGCCCATTGTATGTCTTCTGGTTCAAAAAATCTCCAAAAAGTTTCGCTGCATTTGGACTCCGTTTGATATTGGTTTTCTGCAAAGTAAAAAACAAGCAGAAAACAACAACTGGCACTGGACACTATGTCAATAGGTTATTTCCAAAAAATGATATAAAGTTGTTGTAAAATGGTTGTAAAACATCCAAGAATGATACTATAATAGCATGGAACAATCAAAAAATATAGATATGTTGGAGACATATCAGCATCCCCAAGCTTAATTCCTGCTCGTCTTTGAGTAGGTAAATGATTAAAAGAGAATTTTTGATGTGGAATGTTGCCTAACATGTTCATCACATTATTTTCTTTATAGCATGGACATATGGACTTTTCTATGATTCAAAACAATAGTCTAGTATTGACATGAAAACTTTGATACTCAAATCATGCTAGCAAGCAATAATGCCCTTTCAGAATATCAACACTAAAGAAAGCTATCCCTAGCCCATTATGCTCAATCATTGATCCATTCAAGCAACACATTCAAATATTAGCTACACCCAATGCTCAAGTATGATAATAGTGTTCCATAGTTGGTGCTTTATAAGAGACGATGGAGACTCACAAAAAATAAAAAATTGCATAAACTATATAGAAAGGCCCTTCGCAGAGGGAAGCATTGATTTGTAGAGGTGCCACAGCTCAAAGCTTAAATTGAGAGATAAAAATTTGGGGTGACATGCTTTTCCTGTCAACAAAAATGACTAAGAGCTTCCAACAATCTCCATGCTAAACAAATCATAGGCGGTTCCCAAACAGAAAATAAAGTTTATTCCTTTTCCACCATTCTTTCACATTCCACGACTAACCAAATCCACGGGTACCATGCATACCAACACTTTCCCAAGGAATTTATTATTTGACAACATAAAGTAATTTTTTTTTCATTTCTGGACTGGTCATCCCTATTAGCGACGTACTCTCGTGCAATGACAAGTGAATAAACACTCATCGTGAGAATAATATATTTAGCATGGAAAATATCTGCCACCCCTTGCCGCTTCATGAGCGGTATGGGCACACAAAACAGAAATATTATTTTGCAAATTAGAGATGACACATACAAATTTACTTGGAACGACAAGGAAATATCGCATATAGGTAGGTATGATGGACTCATGTGGCAAAACTGGGTTTAAAGAATCTGGATTGACACATAGTATCTTTACTTAGTACAATATGGAGGCTAGCAAATAGATGGAGAAGCGCCCAACCAAGGAACGAAAACCATCATAAGCGAACATTAAACATAACCAACACCGAACAATGCAACACAAGCAGGATGTAATTTCATTGCATAATTATTGACTTGACGTGCTTGCATAGGGAATCACAAACCTTAATGCAAATATTCTTACTAAAGCATGATTACTCAATAACATAACTCACGTATCACTATCTTCATATCTCAAAATTAATGAAGAGAATCAAGTTTAATGTCCAATGACCTTCATGCAAGTTTTTATTATATCTTCTCTGGATATCTATCACTTTGGGACTAATTTCTTTTAAAGCATATTGTCCTGGCAATTCATAAGCTCTCAAACAAATATAAGTGAAGAACGAGATCACAAGTTTCTTTAAACTTTTAACTCCCAAAATTCTTTAAGTGAAGCAAGAGAGGATTTCTTCAAAAATTTACTAACTCTCAAATAAATCTAAGTGAAGCATGAGAGCATATTTCTTCAAAATAAACAGCACCACCGTGCTCAAAAAAATATAAGTGAAGCACTAGAGCAATTCCATAGCTCGCAAAAATTTTAAGTGAAGCATAAAGAGCAATTCTAACAAGTCATAGCATAATTTTGGCTCTCTCAAATAGGTGTGTCCAGCAAGAATGATTGTGACAAAATAGAAAACAAAACAAACAAAGACTCATATTATACAAGACACTCCAAGCAGAACTCATAATATGTGACGAATAAAAATATAGCTCCAAGTAAAATATCGATGGTCGTTAGAAGAAAGAGGGGATGCCACTCGGGGGCATCCCCAAGCTTAGTTGGTTGATACATCTTGAATATTATCGCCATGGGCATCCCCAAGCTTAGCCTTTTGCTACTCCTTATTCCTTCATCCATCGTGATCTCACCCAAAACTTGAAAACTTCAATCACACAAAACTCAACAAAACCTTCATGAGATCCGTTAGTGTAAATAAAACAAATCACTACTTTAAGTATTGTAGAAAGCCCATTCATATTTAGTGATTGCATTATATCTATTGCATTTTAACTTTTCCATGGCAAAAACCATTCAATACTTAAGTACTATAGAAATACGAGGCTATAATAATCACGAATGGATATTAATTCAAAGCAAATCTGATCTTAAGCTCACAATTCATCGGATCGCGACAAACACACTGCACAAAGTCATCACATCAATTAGATCTCCGAGAGACAATTGTATTGAGAAACAAAGAGAGAAAAAGCCATATAGCTACTGCCTACGGACCCGTAGGTCTGAGGTGAACTACTCACGCATCATCAGAGAGGCACCAATGAGGATGATGAAGCCCTCCGTGATCGTGTTCCCCTCCGGCAGAGTGCCGGAATAGGGCGCTAGATTGGATCTCATGGTTCCGGTTGGATCAATATTTCCTGGACTCCCCTAGGGTTTATGAAATATTTGGGTAACTATAGGGCAAAGAGGAGGTGCGGGAGGCCACCGTGGTGGGCACAACCCAACAGGGCGCGCCTGGGCCCCTGGGCGCACCCTGATGTCTTGTGCTCACCACGGGATGGCCCTTAGGTAGTTCCTTGGCCCATTGGATGTCTTCTGGTCCAAACAAAATCTCCAAAAAGTTTCGCTGCATTTGGACTCCGTTTGATATTGCTTTTCTGCGAAGTAAAAAACAAGCAGAAAACAACAACTGGCACTGGGCACTATGTCAATAGGTTAGTTCCAAAAAATGATATAAAGTTGTTGTAAAATGGTTGTAAAACATCCAAGAATGATAATATAACAGCATGGAACAATCAAAAAGTATAGATACGCTGGAGATATATCAAGACCTTGCATAAATTTTCTGTAACTCAGCAAACCCTTAATTAGCAGGACATGATAGCTGTTAGGTAGACCGGATGCCTAAATATCACCGTAGCTACTTTGTCGTGGTCCTGGCTATAAGCAGTAGATGTGATTCAAAATGGGTGTTCAAAACTTCAAATGCTAGTTTGCTAAACTAGTGTTGCAGCTTAGAAAGGCGTTCTAACTTATTAACGTGTTTTACTTCAGGTGTTCTACCCCAAAGATGTTGAAGGCGCCAGAGAAGATATATTGAGATATCTTCAACTCTGGATCTATGGGAAGGTCATATATTTTGATGGTTGGTACGGGATTGGAGCATCTGCTGTTCTTAGATCCATAGCACAAGTGCTTCCATCTAGGAGAACCACTCCAAGACTACGCTTTGATAGAATAATATATATCGATTGCTCAGAGTGGAAAAGTTCAAGAGAAATGCAGATGGTAATTGCAAATGATTTGGGACTTGACCGCTCAGTAATGGCAATTTTTGACAAGAAGGATGAGGAGGATGACTTTAATGGAGTGGACCAAGGCTCGAGGGATGTGATACAAAGTGTTGCAGCAGTGATTTTTCAAACCCTAGCAAGTAAGAGATTTATGATAATTTATCTTAACGGGACTGATGATGAAGTTGACATAACAAGATTCGGTATTCCTCAAATTACCGAGTTTGGGAACAATATGGTGATAATGACCATGAAAAAAAGGTTTCTGACCATCCATTACAGCCATTCTAAGGTAGCAGACAAGCTAAGAGATACTCATATTTTCTTTTTCTTCCATTATCCAATCAATGAATTATCTTGGTCACAGTTTTGTGGGCTGCTGCATCAAGAAGCTGCTATCATAGTTGCTCGCAACCCATGTATGCTGGACATCAACCCAACAATTGTTGCAGATTGTTGTCTCTATGAGTTATTCTTGCATTATAATTTCCACAGGGCCACTAATTCTGGCTGGGTTGCTCACGCTTCCAACTATTGGGTATGTGATGGGATCATACAAGGGGACAAAGCAAGTGATATTAGTAATGCATTGCATCGAGAGATAAATTGGAAGTGTGATGCTTCTCCTCTTGATGCTCTTCTTAAAATGATCATGAAACATTCACAACCTCGTTTTCTGGTAATTAAGGATGATGATGTCTATAAAGAAGGCCCACACCGTTGGATTTCAGTCGTGTCGAGAGATGCAGAAGTACATGGAATGAAAGCAATACCTGCAGAGGCATCATCTTTCTTCTTGGCATTTGAAATATCAAATCCCCCAACAGCTTTACCAGGTGGATTTTTTGATTATTGCAGCAAGCTTGGCGTGTTGATGCTCTATTGTTGTGCGTTCAATTTTACTTCACCTTCTTTCCTGAAGTGTCATGGCCTGAGATTCCTTGGACTGGACCATTGTATAGATGACAAAACTATTGGAAGAGAGAATCATACAGTTTGGATATGTCTGTATAGCTTGTGGGTGTTGGACCTGCGTTACACAGATTGGAATGAAATCTTATCTAAGGAAAAGTTAAATCTCATGAAAAATATCAGAGAGCTAAATATAGAGGGAGTCAGGGGCTGGAAGTACACCGTTGAGCTACAAGGGTGGTTACCTAACCTCCAGAGGCTCAGAATAATCAAACCAACGTGTCAATGGGAAACCTCACACGATTTTGATAACTCCTTTACAGATAAGAAAAGCATGGAAATACTTGACTTGTCTGGCAATTGTGACATGAAAATTCTTCCACCAAGCCTATCGAAGGCAACTAGCCTGCGGTTGCTTGTACTTGATGGTTGTGATGGACTGGAAAGCATTGGGGGTCTTCCTCCCTCCCTTGAATCCTTTAGCTTTAATGGATTTGGGCCAGCTTTTCAGTGGACACAAACTGTTGAGCTACCTCCAAAACAATTCCGTCCATCCACCATAATAGATAATAAGGATGTCAGGATATCCAAGATCTCCTTAGCAGGCTGCACACAGCTGAAGAATTTGTTCTTGTGTTGGCTACCCAACCTAGTGGAATTGGACCTCTCTGGAACAGCAATCAAGATACTTGACTTCAAGACTATGGTGGTGCAAATCCCAAAGCTCAAGCGGCTGTTTCTAATAGGATGCAAGCACCTGCGTGCAATAACCTTTTTGCGCGAGAGTGTTCCTGACCTGGAGTTGTTTTGCTTAGACACGCGACATGGAGTTGTGTGTCCTCGACCATCCATCAGCAAAAACAGACCTTCTGGGTTGCAGATACATGTTGTTGTTGTGGATGCGAGGCTTACTCACTCCTTGCGGGATTTGATCTTTATTATTAGACAAGGTAATGTCCATTTTAGTATCCACGTCACCTCCTCACCTCTGTATGATAGGATTACTCAATTTGAAGAAACCAGCAAGGATATGATTGGCCCCATTGATCAAGAGAGCCTGCAGCTTATTCCAGCAGGCCGGTACAGTGTAGTCATTGGGATGGTTGGCACTGCCCCAATGCAAACCTTTCCACAGCCTCCTGCTACAAACTTTGATCGGCATGTAGAAATCGCTGAAGGGAGCTTATATGTGGAGAGAGAACTTGATGAAGCACTTGGCCCACTGATGGGAAGTCATGCGGAATCCCTACATGTGCATGATGTCATGGTACGGGCTATTGTGCCTCAAGCCCGTCCGTGGGAAGTGCTTAGGTGGTGCTGTGTGGAGAGGTGCCCAAAAGTGGATACCATCTTCCCTGGGAATTCATACAAATTTACTGCATTGGAGACCTTCTGGGTGTCGGATCTCCTAATGGCCCGCTCAATTTTGAGTAAAGTTTCACGCCTTAATCGATATGGCAGTACTGGATCCTTCCAAAATTTACAGCACCTTCAGCTGCGTTCATGCCCCAGCCTCCAGTTTGTGCTCCCTTTGTGGGTCTCCTCCTTCCCCAGCTTGGAGACCCTCCACATCATCCACTGCGGCAACCTCAGCCACGTCTTCGTACAGGACGAAAAATACCCTAAAGAAATGACTACCTTTGGTGTACTATTCCCGAAGCTGGCGACCATCCACCTGCACGACCTCCCGAAGCTGCAGGAGATATGCGAGGTCGAGATGGTGGCCCCTGCGCTTAAGAGCCTCAAGATCAGGGGATGCTGGAGCCTGCGCAGGCTGCCATCCGTGGGTGCCCGTGGCCGTGGCGAGAAGAAGCCGGCCGTCGAGATTGAGAAGGACGTGTGGGACGCTCTAGAGTGGGATGCCAGTCACCGCCCTGACCACTTCGAGGCGCCGGTCCACTCGCGCTACTACAAGGAGAAGCTGCCCAGGGTGTCCGTCCTCAGGTACTAATTATACATGCAAATGACTTCTGAGTCCATTTGCCACTGCTCCTGATTGCATTCAGTTACTGACCATCTTGTTTCACCATGTGTCTCATGTATGTCGCCTAGGTGAACTCTGCATTGTAGTGTTTCCTCATTCGCTACCTGAGAGTGACGGATGCTGCTGCTGGATCATGAGATTGGTTTGCTTGTGTGCCTGCTTGGATTTCCATTGGCCGTAGGTGCGAGCTTATGGTCGCTCTCACCGTTTATTATATTGTGGATTTCAAAGAAGAGACGGACAGGTTTGTGCCTGCCTACACAGACCTGGACGGTGCGCGTGCGTGTGGTTTGAGATCGGAGCGGCTTGTTGTGGACACCTGCGTCCATCCACTAGTCTGCATTTGTGTGTGTGGCTTTGATGAATGCTTGCTATGTGTGTGTGTGGAATTGTCACAGCTGCCTATGTCTATGTGTGCCGGCGTGCATGTACAAGCCTATCTACTTCTGAGTGTGACTTGTTTGAGAGTGTTTGCCATGTATCTGAACCAAGAAACAGTTTGGCTGGTTGTTCGTGTGCTTGTGCATGCATTGACATGCTAGCTACCCGTGTGTTTTGTTTGATATATGCTTTTCAAAAATAAGAAAAAGCAGCAGCTATCTGTGCTGGTTGTTGCAATTGCTTGGCTCTTTGTGTGAATTATATTGGTCTGCCAGGTGTCACGTTTTACCAGGTGTTGAGAATGTCTCAGACTGAACTAATGTTTGTTTTCTGAAGTCTGAGCATATGCCAGGTTCTAACAGTTTGTTGCAGAGGTGTTTTACTCGGTGTATGAGCGGTGTTGGCTTCACGCACTCCACAGATGTATTTCACAACGTGCTTGAACTGAACCTGACCAAGCTTATATATTTCTGAATGGTAAACTGATTCCACTGTTAATCTGAATGAATATATTTCTGAATGCGGCAGAGTATATATAAGGACATGCATGTACGGTGGTCATGACGGGTCTCTGAAGGGCTCAAGAGATCACAATAGAATCCTATCACATATGTTTCCAGGTGTGTAGTCATGTACATCCTCCGTTAGATATACATATGCATGTGCAGATGGTTATTGAGGAGATACTAGTAACATCCTCATTTGTTTGGTTGGATGTGAGATGTTCGGAAATAGTGGATTTTGTAAGCTTTGCATTGATGCTCCATGGAATTGTTGGGTTACTAAGAAAAACTGAAAAACCTTCATACTTCACAAATAATCAGGAGTTCGTTCAGAAGTTCGAAAAGGCGAAACCCGGTCTGAATATATTCAAAGATTGAACTTGGACAGTCAATATACGTGTTAAATATTTTAGACAGAGGTTATCTCTAACTACCCAAAACACCATGGAAATCAAGCTTGTAAGAGCAGCTACATCTCAGTCATCTTTGAAAAAGAAAAAGAAAAAAGCAAAAATATAAACAAAGCAGCAGTATGTTGCTACATGCTTTGGCAAAGAGAAAGGGGGAAAGCAAAGCCAACATGGCCCCATTGACGTCAGTGTCTGCCCCAACAAAGAGGCTGATCTCGTCTCTGATCATGGCATGCAGACCATGCACCATAGCAAACTTTTCCTGAAAAACACGTCGATTTCGCTCGTTCCAGATGTTCCAGGCTATGTAAGCCGCCGCGTCACTCTGAAATCTGAAGAACACATGCCATGTTCCAACAGTTTGCTCGGCATATGATTTGAGTGTTTTCCATGCATATATATGTATCTAAACCGAGAAACAGATGGTTGTGTGTGCTACGCATCTGCGAAAATCTGACCATTCCTCAACTATGCGATTTTTGTACTTTGAGTGTATATAGTCTGGAATTACTGTAACTCTGTTCTCCTGCTTTAGATAGCAGTTTGGGGGTGTTATTCTGGTAGTATAATAATTATACTACTGATGATGACAATGACCACAGGTTACCAATGCATTAACAAACTGTTAAAACTTAAAATCTAACAAATAGACTCTGAAGTCTGAACCCTGCCGAGTGCTACATATTTAACAGAAACAGAGGAAACAGCGGAGCGTGGCGAGCTCAGCGGCCTGATAATCTTACTACCTATGTATTAATTTAACTTGCCAATAAAATAGCACTCCGTTTGTGTGACACTTTGTTAGAAAACATCACTCTGAAATCTGAAGAATACATGCGCGCCGGTTGTTCCATTTCACATTTGTCTTTGAATCACCGTTTGAGCGCATCATGAAATCTGTTAAGCGATCCATGTGTTCAGAAACCCTCAGCCTGTACTGATGTTTCTTTTCTGACACTGGTTACAGATTACCGATGCATACACCACATGTCTAAATCTACTCTACAGGCTCAGAATTCAGCAAGTGCTATTTCAGAAAGCTTCTGATTGCTAATGCTATTAATGTAACCGAGAGTGACACAGCAGGTATCTAGTACTAAGAAAAAACAATTTAGTACCAATAAGCAACAATTTGCTAGCAAGAGATCACTCTGAAGTCTGAACTCTGAACATATGCCATGTTCTAACAGTTTGCTGCAGAGGTTTTACTCGGTGTATGAGTGGGATTGGCATCACGCACTCCACGGAATCAGTCTACTGTCAAATATATAAGCTCGGTAAGGTCCAGTTCAAGCACGTGGTGAAATTCATCACTGTTCTGTTAGATAATAAATATGTGCATGTCTAGATTATTATCGAGGAAATAACAATAACTTCCTCCTTTTTTCCCGCTGGATTTGAAGTGTCCATAAATAGTGGATTCTCGAAGCTTCATTAATACTCTTTGGAATTGTTGGATGAATTAGAAGTAACCTTTGCTTTCATACTTCTGAACTAATAATGTTCAGAAGTTCAGCAAACCCGGACTTAATTTTATTATTAGGGCCAACATGCTTTGGTTGTAAATGTCTTCTTCTTTAATGCTTCTCAATAGTTGCAAAATCGAAATTAGAAGAAAACAATTTTCATAATAATATAGTGCTTTAAGATTGTTGTTCAAAGATTGAACTTGGACAGTCAAAGTAGACCGTGCTGTACACAAGTTATCTCTAGCAGCACAAAACACCATGGAAATCTGTAGTGTTGGAAAAGAAAAAAAAAATCAAGCTTGTAAGAGCAGCTGCATGCCTGCATCATCTTTGGAAAAGAAAAGGAAAAAGAAAAAGAAAAAAACATATGTTGCTTCATGCTTTGGCAAAGAGAAAGGAAGCCATAAGAGAAAGCTACCCAGGCAGTATGGAGGATGTATCAAGCAACGCATTTTGCACTCTTTAGTCATTAGTTGCAAGCCAACTTGCTTTGCTCGGTCTGCAGCTTCTGAGGGCATTCTGCCACAAACTCCTAAGAAGCCTATCTCGCGTTAGCAGTTTGACGAAGAAGCAGATCGGTGTGCCTCAACATTTTCAATCCAAGTTTCTGTTTTCTCAAGCTTCTCATCCGTTGTTGAGGTACGCATGTAATAGCTTGCCGCTAGCAAACAACTGCATTTGGTGGCTTGCTTCATTCGCGCCCTCTAAATTATTCTTCCAGAAGAAAGTTTGAGTATACATGTAGTTGAGTAGTACTACTTGTTAACGATGGCAAAGCACAAACGTAACATATTGCCCTTGTTACTGTGTTTGTACTTTATAGGTGGTGCCGATGGGTCAGATTGATCGAACTTGCGGCTGATTTTCTCTCATGGTCTTCAGCGGAGGAATCCATCCTGTGATTCCTGAGTAATTCTCGTTATTTGAAGACTTGTTGAGTTACGCAGCTGCATTAGTCTCGTGGCTGGTCTTGGACAGAGGAATTCATCCCGAGTCCGGTCCTCATCGGTTGATTATGGGTTAACTTTGCTGCTGCTTTTCTTTCTTGGTCTTGGGAAGATCATGAATTCTGTTGGATACGAGGTAAGCACTCCTGCACATTTTACATTTTACTCACTAGCTAGAGCGCCACACACACACACACACACACACACACACACACACACACAGTTTTCACTCAAGAGGCCGTGGATTATCATCCTGGGGAATCGGAAAATGCATCCTCACACCTACCTAGTTCTCTAAAACCTCCTATAATCGCTTCACTCTTAAATGAATTACACCACATTTTTATCCGAAAAGACTCCACATACAAACACCATGTAATATGTTAAACATATACTAGATTCTCACAGTTTAGGCGTAATGTGATGCATGTTGATTTTGCTGCTTCTTGTTGAGAAACCGGGTTCCGTGGCTTCTAGTTGCACAAGATTGTACATTGAGAAAGTCTGTAGAGGTACCAGGTACATACATACTAGCTAGCAACACACAGTTACATTTTCTGGCTCTTTCTTCATGCCCTCTGAATTATTCTACCAGAAGAAAGTTTGTGTATATATGTACTTGACTACGGTTACTGGTTAACAATGTTAAAGCACAAAATTAACATGGTGTGCTTGTTGTTGTGTTTGTAGGTGGTGCCAAGATCTTGAACCGATGGGTTAGATTGATCAGATTGGCAGCTGGTTTTCTCTCTCGGTCTTCGACGTTGAACAGTTGAAGATTTATTAAGTTTTGCAGCTGATTTTGTCTCCTTCTTGGTCTTGAACGGAGGAATTCATCATGAGTACTGATTGATTAAGTTTGCAGCTGGATACCTCGTTCTCGGAGGAATTCACCATGAGTAGTCATCCTGAGGTGTGGGTAATACTCTTGTGCCTTTTACGTTCACACAGTTAGTACATGCATATGCATGGTTCTCTTTTAGCTGGGAATTATTCTTTTGACCTTTCATGATTACCTCTACCATTGCTCTTACATCAACCCCAAATGTTTCCTACAAGCAGTGGTAGTTACCACCACTTGCGTTTTCTATGTTGTATGTAGTATCTGTCGAAACCGACAGTATGTACGTGTAGTATGTAGTATATAGCAATGATTAGGTAGTATATATAATAATTTTTAGGTAGTATGTATCATTTTTTGAGTATGCTCTTTTTTATGTACAAATATGTATGTATTTCACAAATATAACAAACTATAGGCTCATATGCAATTTTTTCATGTAACTTGCTTTGAAATATCTTAGATATAGTATATGAACATATTTAAAATAATAAAATAGTATATATAGTACCAAATGGTAGTATATGAGACATGTGGGGTAACTACCACCGGGTGGTAGGATGGATTTTCCCTACTACCGGGTGTAGTTACTCCCACTTTTATTTCATACGTTTTAGGTAATATCTATCATATCGGAGAGTATGTACGCATAGTATGTAGTATATAAGAATATTTAGGTAGTATATATACTACTTTTTTAGTAGTATGTATCATATTTTGTACATACTCTTTTTCGCGTACAAATATGTACGTATTTCACAAATACAATAAAACTATGAGTTCACTTGCAATTTTTTCATATAACTCACTTTTGAATATCTTAGATATAGTATATGAATGGATGCGGCTGAATATACTAAAAATAATAAAGTAGATTATATACTACCACATGGTAGTATATGAGAAATGGGTGTAGCTACATCCGGTAGTAGGACACATTTTCCCTATATATATATATATATGGGGGCAAACTCTCCGTTCATTTTTTTAAAGGCAATGCCAACACTAGAAGATAACATGACAGATCCAGCTTGCTCTCATAAACCTAGAGCCTTTTGCAGCCTAATGTACTATATATAACACGCACACCGTAAGTGTACACAAGCTTTCTCACTGATTGTAAGGGACATTCTCGATTGTGAGATGGCTTCGACATGTGAACGCTTGGTCAGGCTGGGAACGCTTGGTATTACATTCAATTAACTCTTAATTTTAAATAGCAGTCATACAAACTCTCACTCTGCCTAGAGGCGTATATGCCAAAAGGGTCTTAGAATAAATTTCATTAGTTTTTTTTCTCATGGAGTGCGCAGATTGGTTTTGCTGTTTCTGGTTGAAAAAACAAATGAATTGGTGATGCAAGTTAATTTGTCGGTTTCCCTGAGCGTACAACCTTAGCTCCTGCATGTGGCGCACCACATCAAAGTTACTATGTTTAAAAGCAATGCCAACAGATCCATAAGCAGACTAGTTAAAAAGAGTAAAACTCTGGAAACCATACGTTCTAGTATCATGATAGCCAATAGGTAGACTGGACGCCGTAAACAATTAACCGTGGACTGGCTGTAAGCAGTAGATGTGATTCTAACGAGTGTTGTAATACCAATTCTGTTAGATTTGACTCAAGATCATAAACACATGCTCATGCAAAACCAATAAAAAAATAGCGACGCCCTTAAAATATGCTATTTGCGTGTTATATCGCACTATAGCTTGCTATTAGCAAGATATTATACACTAATTCATTTGGCGAGACATTGCCCAGAACGTTATAGCATGCTGTTAGCGACACTATAGACACTATGTTTCTCACTGCATGAAATACAGCATGCATTCTGGAAAATCTTTGGCCAAAGGCATGTCTAGTGCCTTTCTTTTCTTTCTATTTATTCCTCAAGGATCACAGCCTGGTACAAACAAACGCCACACTCATGTCTAATATACACACATACACACGTACAACTAGTGCCTAATCGACTAGGAGTCTAGGACATCCAGGCTCAAACCGATTCTACTCAACTAAGATCATGTCATGCAAACTAACCACACCACTCGTACGAAACACACAAAACAATATATATCACATTTGAACATAGGCAATAGTCAGACGCCAACACAATTAAGCATCTAACTAAGATTATTCCAACAAATTCTATTCTTCAGAGATGCATTGTTGGTGTATGTTAAATTCGTGTTGCAGCTACCAAATTCGTTCTAACTTATTAACGCGTTTAACTTCAGGAGGTCCGTGTGAAAGATGTTGACGAAGCCAGAGAGAGAATATTATTTGATATTCGGTACATGCGTTACAAGGTCATTTATTTTGATGGTTGGAATGGATTTGGAGCATCCGCTGTTCTTAGATCCACAGCTGCAGTGCTTTCATCTAGGAGAACCACTCCGGAACTGTGCTTTGACAAAATAATTTATATTGATTGCTCAGAGTGGAAAAACAGAAGAGGAGTGCAGAGGGCAATTGCAAAGGAACTGCAACTTGATCGCTCTGTAATGGCTATTCTTGATAAGCAAGATGAAGATGATTATTTTTTGGGACATGATGAAAGCCTGAGGCATGAGATAGATAGTGTTAGTCAAGTGATTGATCAAACCCTAAGGGGTATCAAATTTATTATGATTTTCCTTAATGGGAGTGATGACGAGGTTGATGTGGGTCTCATGGGTGTTCCTCTTGCAAGATATGGCAACAACATGCTGATATGGACCTTCAGCAGAAGCTATCTGACCATGCATCGGGACCGTTCCGAGGTAGCAAAAAAGCTAAGATATACTCAAATTTTCCATCTTTCTTTTATCGAAGAATTGAAGGCCTCACAGTTTCATGGAGTGCTACATCAACAAGCTGCTACCATAGTTGCTCGCAACCCATGTATGCTGGACATTGACCCAGCAATTATTGTAGATTGTTGTCTCTATGATTTATTCCTGCACAATAATTTTCACACCGTCACTAAATTTCATTGGGTTTCTCATGCTTCCAACTATTGGATATGTGATGCAACCATACAAGGGGACAGAGCAAGGGATATTAGTGATGCATTGCATCGAGAGATAAATTGGAAGTTTGATGCTTCTCTGCATGATCATATTCTTAAAATAATGTTCACACATTCAGAGTCTCCTTTTCTGGTAATTAAAGACGATGATGTCTATGAAGAAGGCCCATACCGTTGGATTTCAGTCGTGTCAAGAGATGCAGAAGTACATGGTATGAAAGCAATACCTGCAGAGGCATCATCTTTCTTCTTGGCATTTGAAATACCCAATCACCCACAAGCTTTACCAGATGGATTTTTTGATCATTGCAGCAAGCTTGGTGTGTTGATTCTCTATTGTTGTGCCTTCAATTTTGCCTCACCTTGTTTCTTGAAGTGTCATGGTCTAAGATTCCTTGGACTGGACCACTGTACAGATGACAAAACAATTGAAGGAGATCATAATACAGAGTGGTTATATTTGTATAGCCTATGGGTGCTGGACCTACGTTACACAAACTGGAATCAAATCTTATCCGAAGAAAAGATGGATCTCATGACTAACATCAGGGAGCTAAATATAGAGGGAGTCATGGGCTGGCAGTACATAGCTTGCCTACAGGGGCGGTTACCTAACCTCCGGAGGCTCCGAATAATCAAACCAACATGTCAATGGGAGACATCAGAGGCTATCGATGACTACTTCATAGATAAGAAAAGTATGGAAATACTTGACTTGTCAGGCAATTGTGACATGAAATTTCTTCCGACAAACCTATCAGAGGCAAGTAGCCTCCGGTTGCTTGTACTTGATGGTTGTGATGAATTGGAAAGTGTTGGTGGGCTTCCTCCCACCCTTGAATCTGTCAGGTTTAATGGATATGGGTCAGCTTCTCAATGGACGCAAACTGTTGAGCTATCTCCAAAACAATTTTGTCCATCCAGCACAACACATAATAAGTATGTCAGAGTATCCAAGATCTCCTTAGCAGGCTGCACACAATTGGAGCATTTGTTCTTGTGTTGGCTACCCAACCTAGTGGAATTGGACCTCTCTGGAACATCAATCAAGATACTTGACTTCAAGACTATGGTGGTGCAAATCCCAAGGCTCAAGCGATTGTTTCTAATAGGATGCAAGCACCTTTGTGCAATAAACTTTTTGCACGAGAGTGTTTCTTACCTGGAGTTGATATGCGTAGACACGCGAGCTGGAATCGTGTGTCCTCGGCCATCCATTGGAAAAAACAAACCTTCCCGGTTACAGGTGCATGCTGTTGTTGTGGACGCGAGGCTTGCTGGCTCCTTGCAGAATTTGATCGTTAATTATATACAATATATTGTTCATTTTAATATCCATGTCACATCCTCACCTGTGTATGATGGAGTTGTTCAGTTTGAAGCAACCAGCAAGGATATGATTGGCCCCAGTGATCAAGAGAGCAAGCAGCTTATTCCAGCAGGCTGGTACAGTGATGTCCTTGGCATGGTTGGCGCTGCCTCACCCCTAATGCAGACCTTTCCACAGCCTCCTACTATAAAGTTGGATCGACATGTAGAGATTGCTCAAGGGAGCTTCTATGTTGAGAGGGAGCTTCAAGAAGCACTAGGCGAATTGATGATAAGATCAGAATCCTTGCATGTGCATGATGTCTCAGTACGTGCTATTACGCCTCAAGGACGTCTATGGCGCAAGCTTAGGTGGTGCTGCGTGGAGAGGTGCCCCAAAGTGGACATCGTCTTCCCTCGGCAGGAATTTACTGCATTGGAGACCTTGTGGGTGTCTGACCTCCTAATGGCCCGCTCGATTTCGAGTAAAGGTTCACGCACTGGTTATTATAGCGAAATCATCTCCTTCGGAAATTTACGGCACCTTCAGCTGCGTTCATGCCCGAGCCTCCAGTTTGTGCTCCCGCTGCGGGTCCCCTCCATCCCCATCTTGGAGACCCTCCACATCATCCACTGTGGCGACCTCAGCCACATCTTCATACTGAACGAAAAGTACCCTAAAGAAATAACTACCCGCGGTGTACAATTCCCAAAGCTGACAACCATCCACCTGCACGACCTCCCGAAGCTGCAGAACATATGCGAGGTCAAGATGGTGGCCCCTGCGCTCAAGAGCATCAAGATCAGGGGATGCTGGAGCCTGCGCCGGCTGCCATCCGTGGGTGCCCGTGGCCAAGGCGAGAAGAAGCCAGCCATCGAGATTGAGAAGGACGTGTGGGACGCTCTGGAGTGGGACGCCGGCCATCGCCCCGAGCACCTCGAGCCGCCGGTCTTCTCGCGCTACTACAAGGAGAAGCTGCCCAGGGTCTCCGTCCTCAGGTACTAATTATACATGCAAATGACTTGTGAGTCCATTTGCCACTGCTCCTGATTGCATTCAGTTACTGACCATCTTGTTTCTCTGTATCTCTCATGTATGTCGCCTAGGTGAACTCCGCACTGTGATGTTTCCTCTGTCACTACGTGAAAGTGATGGACGTTGCTGCTGATGGATCATGCGTTTGGTTTGCTTTGTGTGCCTGCTTGGATTGGTATTGGCCTTATTAGGTGTGAGCTTATGGTGGCTCTCACAGTTTATTATATTGCAGATTTCAAATAAGAGACGGACGGGTTTGTGCCTGCCTACACAGACCTGGACGGTGTGTGTGTGCGTGGGTTTGCGATTGTGGTGGCTTATTGTGGACGCCTGCGTGCATCCACCAGTCTGCATTTCCGTTGTGGGTGCGTGTGTGCGTGTGTGCGTGTGGGGAATTGTAACAGCTGCCTGTGTGTGCCTGCGTGCATCTACAAGGCTAGCTCGGCTGAACTGAACCAAGACACAGCTCGGCCGCTCGTGTGTTTTGTTTTCTATGCTTACGAAAAATAACAAAAAGTAACAGCTATCTGTGCTGGTTGTTGCAATAGTCCGCCTCTCTGTGTGAGTGTAAATCATCAGCCCTGCTGTGAAATCTGTGCAAGTATATTATTTACATTGAGACTAGTGATTAATTAGGAACAGATTGCAGCGATCACATGTTTTGATCTTACTGACAAAGAATTCAACAGCTGCTATTTGACACAAGATCTGATTATGAATGCCTACAGTAGTTCATAACTGATAGTAATTCAGCATCCAACGTGTCTGCCAACAAAAGGAACTAGGCGAACAACAATTCAGTACTAACATCTCTCTGAATATAACTCATCACTAGGAGTAGTAAACAAAGTTGGTGATGATATTTTAGTTGATACTAATCAGCAAGCCCGCTAACAATCAACTCTCATCATCAGATCAGATGGAAGGTACTTCATCATGGTTAAAAGGATAGAACCGTATTACCTGCAGGCAAACCAATTAATCCCACTCTCATGCGGTACTCCATTTTTCAGAAAAAGATCAGCGAAGCTTCTCACTCGATTAAGCTTGATCAGCTCAGAAGCGTCCAGCAAAGGGAATTAAGAAGACTAAATCAAATGGGCATAAGTAACAACACAGGTGTGTCGAGTAATATTCTGAAATAGCCCTTTAGGCTAGTTGCGACCAGGCATATTTTGATTTGTATAAGAAAAGTATTCCTTTTACACATTCATTCATATTTAAGTGAGAATGATACTCATCATGTAAAATGACGACAGAAGGAACTACAACTACAATTTAGCAACATGCCAACGACTTGCTATAGGGAGGCGACGTTTGGTGTATGGGGACATCTACAGCCTATATGAATTTTTTTTAGTAATTCAACAAAAAGTCAAAAAATTCTGAAATATTTTTAAAATAAACTTGACCTTTCATTGTACTCGTGAGAAATCCACAAAAAGAAAATCCCCCTTTGACTTCTCCAGCTCCGCATTCAGCAACGGCCCCATGGCCTTGGCCACCGCCACAAGCGACGGCACTGCTCCAGCCCCAGCATTCCAGCCGCCTCGGGGCAAGCCTGCGCCTCTGAGAACCTTGAGCACTTGCCTACCCACTTGGCGAGATACCTCAGCACTCAGCAGGCTGGCCACCTCCCCGCCGTCCAGCTCGGACCAGAGTCTTTCCAGCGAGCCTTGACGACGGCGACCATGGCGTCGTAGGCCGGGGAGAGGAAGCAGCGGAGCGCGGCGAGGAGGTCGGGGCGTGCGGCGCTGGAGGCGACGAGGGTGGCGGGGATGCAGGGGGCGGCGAGCAGGAACGGGAGGGAGGGGGAGAGGGAGCGGGAGAGAGGCGCGAGGAAGGAGCCGAGCAGGGCCGTGTCGGCGGAGAGGCCTTTGTTCTTTCTCTTGCTCTCCTTTGTTGTGTCTGTTTTTTTTCTCAAAAGTTGTGTCGTGTCTGTTTTGCAGGATATTCTCTGTGTTTGGTGGGCTGCTCTCTCTCTCTCTAAAAAACTGATCATTTTCCACCTATTTCACTCTTTTTTAGTATATATAGGCTATTTTTAAAAAATAATACACTTTTTTTAATAAATTTGAGAAATATTACGCCATTTTAATAATTTGCAAAAATAATACACCTTCAGCGCCGGCGAAGCCGAATGGGTTCAGTCGGTTTTGCTGTCGCCAATTGGAATCCTATCGGCTTCGGCGAAGCTGATTAGGACCCAGTCAACTTCGGCCAAGCAGACTGGCCAGTCGGCTACTGGTCGCAGCTCCGGTCGGGTTTAGTGTGATTATTTAGCACTAATTGGCTTCGGTGAAGCTAATTAGTTCCTGTCGGCTTTGGCAAAGCTGACAGCTGCATGCATCCATTTTTTTTGTTAAAAATACGGCCTTGGATAATCTAATTGACAAAAAGGACTATCTCTGGACCAGATTCACAAAAAAGACCCCCTGGGCTGTGACGGCAGCCGCACCAGCCGACATGTCGCACCTGCCTCTACGGGACCAGGCGGTAGCAGCGTTTCCCTCTGCCATAGTTTCCCGCTTATATCTCTGGCTATATTTTCCCGCTTCTCAGTTCTCGCGTATATCTCGTGCCCCCTTTTCCCGCCTATATCTCCCGCCATAGTTTCCCGCTTCAGAGTTCCCGCCTACTCTTCTCTTCCGAACCTATAAAACCCCCTCCACACTAAGGTGGGTAAGCAGTCCAGTGTAGTCTCGTTGTCTTGTCAAGATGTTCGGTTATCCCTTCGTAGTTTTCACCCTAGTATATCGCAATGTCTTTTGCGTTTAGCCGGCGATTTCAAGAGAGACAATAGAATAGTTCCATGGGACGAACTGGAATCTCTTCCCTCTTCCCTTTGTATCAACTATAAACAACTGTATTGTCTTCAGTTGGATGGGGGAATCCAATTGACAGTCTCGATTCGTATCCTAGCTCGTCTGAGAGCAAGCTTTGCTTCAACCAAATCTTTGTTGGGATCTACGGCAGGGTGCATCGACTGAAAATTAAAAATTTCTACCCGCAGAACATCTAGGAACATACTACGAGAGATGGATCACAGGTCGTTACCACTAGACGCGCAGTGTCGTGCACCGGAAGAAGAGTTGGGGCAGCACGTCTCCTAAGTCGTCTGCTCCTCGTCGATCTCCCACATAGCCGATCAGATCCCTCGAACAGGTTCGCCGGAGCGGCGCAAGTGCACCGCCATTCACGGTATCCGCGCGTGCAGGAGGAAAAACGTGCGGCGGACTGCTAGGTCTGATCACACAGTCGGCGACCAGTGGAGGTGGCTAGTTGCAACACATGCAAAGCCCTAGTGACGGCTGATACGTCTATGTCATATCTATAATTTTTTATTGTCTCATCCCAATATTATACAACTTTCACATATTTTTGACAATATTTTATATGATTTATTGGAGTAACATATTGATCCAATGCCCAGTTTTAATTCCTGTTTGTTGCATATTTTTTGTTTCGCAGAATATCCATATCAAAAGAAGTCCAAACACGATAAAAATTTATGGAGAATTATTTTGGAATATACGTGATTTTTGGGAGGTGGAATCAACGCAAAAGGAGGCCCACGGCCTCTACAACCCATCAGGGCACGCCGGACACCCCCTGGCGCCCAGGTGTCTTGTGCCCTCCCCGTAGTCCGTTGGGGCCCTTCTTCGGGCGCAAGAGAGATAATTTATGGAAAAAAATTGTGTAAAAACTTCAGCGCAATCGGAGTTATAGATCTCCGGGAATTTAAGAATCGGTGAAGGACTAGAAAACAGAAACGCGAAACATAAGAGAACAGAGAGGGAGATCCAATTTATTTCCTGGACTAATTTATTTACTTGCCACTAATGAACAAATTAGCCAAGGATAACTTCGTCCTAAATACGCTATAATTTTGTGCCTTGGGCACCATGGAAAAAATAATATGCCTTATATAAAGGAAACGTAGGCAATAGTGCTTAGAAGTTGAGATTTTAAAACATCTAACACAAAACACAAGTCATGGCAGTTTGAAACTTTAGTCATTAAAAAATATGAAATATCAGACAAAAACTTAGAGTGCAAAAGAACACAAACACAAAAAAGGAAAATGGTATGATGTGGCATATACTTTGCCAAGCGTCGAGAAATGAGTCTCGGTAATATTGGAAGTAACTGACGGAGCCGCCTGGTGCGAACGGACATGCCACATGGCTCCTCTTTGCCGTGTGCGGCTCTCGGTTCTGCGCCGTTTGCTGTTCGGTGCTTGTTCGCCGTGAGCCAGTGACGGCAAAGTAAGCAGTTGCCGTGCGGCCATGTTTGCCGAGTGCGGTTCTCGGCGTTGTTTAGTTTGCCGAGTGCCCGCGTTTTGGCTCTCGGCGAAGACGCCCACACCCGGTGTATACAAAAATTCCAGTAGTGGTGGAACAAAATAGCCTCTAGTCCTCTACACAACACACCACTTGTTCTTTTGAACATGTTAGACATTGTTGTAATAACCTAGCCTAGTCTTGTGATGATGAGATTAGTCAAATATGTATGTTTATGTTGGAATTAGAGTAGTACATATTTATTTGTAAACTGAGCACAACAACTAAAGTTTAGCATTTTCAGTTTTAGGAAGTGAGGTGGAAAACCCAATCAGTAGGTGAATTGGCAGAACATACTTAAGGTATTACAAAATTAACCACAAATTAATAGGTAAACGTAAGTTTGTTCAAAAATTAATTACAGATAAATCCTAAACACCATTGAGATCACACAGAATCAATGGAGCGGTTTAATTCGGCCACCTACTTCACTAACAAACCTGAACACCAAGTTCTGGAAAGGGCGTTTCAGTCTAACAACTTGAGGCCAGCAGAAACTGTTCCAATTCTAAAGAACTAGGGATCAGACTACTGATCCCTAGCATCCCATCAGACTAGCTCACGACCGTAGGATTAGTACCACGATGGATTGTAGATCTCTCTGCATGACGTCCAGCATTTATTACGTGATTCCATAACTGATCCCAAAATTAACGTATGTAGCCAGCCTTGCTTCTTATAACGGGTCCATGTAGCCAGTCTTGCTTCCTAACGTGTCCATGCTGCTT